CACTTAAAACAAATAAACCATGTTCAAGTCGATCTTGCTATTTTATCATCGTGATCAACGTACTGCCAGTCAATGCGCGTGTTCTCCACTCCACTACCATTTAAACTTGTCTTCGTTTAATCTTCCACTCTTTCTCAGCCGACACGGTCATCAATATGACCTGATCTTAGACATCGCTGCTGTGGAACTAAACACTCTCTCACCTAGCCGTTCACAGAGCACCAAAAAGGGGTCACCGAAGTTTGTCAACGCAATTAGTCACACGAGGTTTGAATGTGTGCGGCTCAAAAGGCTGCGGAAGGGAAGTCAAAACAGGAATGCCATGCACATACTGCACATACTTCCACGCCGCATGCGCCAATCTATCGATTAAGAAGATGAAAAAGATGCTGACACAACAGGACTTCTTTTGGTTTTGAAGTGACCGTGCGAAAACTCCGGTTAAAAAATACACGATGGGCATTGAAAATAGGTTCGAGAAGATACTATTAACTGCTAAAGCTAACTTAAAAATTTTAGAATTAGAAGAACGTATAGCTATCCTGAGCTCCCAGATCCCTCTGTCGAGCCCAATCCAACGACCGGCTAAACGTCTAAAGTGTTCGTTCATCAGCAGTGCCCTAACGCAATGTATGACCTTTGCCGAAATAAACATGGTTTCCACTGTCACGAAAGACGCGGTAAAAGCTCCTGAACAGAAAAAGGTTCCCCTTCAAACGAAACCTGTCATATCTACATCAAGGCCCTCGATACTGGATAAAAAAGGTAGAAGCAGCACCGGTTTGACAATTATCTGCACAAATGTACCCTAACCGACAACCCAACCACTTCGAGAACGACAAGGAGAGGAAATGGAACACTGGAATGGTTTGTGCGCGCAAATGGGCATTCATATTCTACCCGTCGCCTTCACAAGATTCATGCGCCAGCCGACGTCGCCAAATACCGGGGAACCCGGGCGGCTCCGGGTGACCCTGAAAGATGATAAGGACTTGGAGGACGTTCTTCTTTCTAGTTACCTTCTCAGAAAGAGTTCCAGCCCAATAAGAATTTTCCCTGATAGACCATGGACGGAACGAATGCAGCAACAGTTTGATCCAATGAGAGCACTAGTGGAGGTCGTCCTTAGCCATGGTTTCTCGCAGTTGGATGATCCGTATGAAACAAAAGGTCATCAGAACGACCGAAGGGAATGGAGATTCATTGAAAATCTACTTCAGTGTAGCGAAGTCTTGAAAACTTCAATCAGTCGTCTTCCCTGTTCATCACATTACCGTGGTAACGGTCCAAGGATAATGAAAGTTACCCTTGGAACTCCAGACATGGCCAACACTGTTTTACAGTTATGGTGGGAAAGAAAGAACAGAGGGCCACCGGAACTACATGTGAGACCCCTACTCAATCCCGGGCTTAAAGTACACCCAACTCTCGAGAACCCAACTGATGCAACAGATCACTCCATGCAGGTACCGAACTCCGCCTAACAACCCGTGGTCCAAAGTACCAGAGCTCCTCTGCCAAAAATACTAATGGTAGCCGACCGCGAAGGGGTCGACCGAGATAACACTTTCTACCCAAGTGGATTTCTACACCGACAGTATTTAAACTATTTCTACGCTAATGCTCGAAGTCTCCTCGGCAAATTTCCAGAGTTGAAATTAAGTTTTATATCTAGTCAATGGGATATTATTGCTGTTACAGAGACTTGGCTCACAGCTGATATTTCGGACTCCGAACTATCTCTACCCAGAAGCGATGGTCCTACCCGTGGTGGTGGTGTTTTACTCTACTACCGAAACAGTCTTGATTGCGATAAAATCTACCCTCCGGTTTCGACACCGGACACTCTGTGGTGTAGGTTAAAGTTGTCCAAACATCATGATTGTTTGATTGGTGTAGTCTATCGTCCCCCATCATCCCCGGAGACGGCCAATGAGACGCTTTTGCAAACTGTCACAAATTCTTACACGAAAATTTACCCTTGTTCTCCTTATGGGTGATTTCAACTGCCCTAATCTCAATACATCAGTGATCTTCCGTTTATTTTTCGAACATCATTTCAAACGGCTGATTGACTCGCATCCATTATACAACCACGTGAAGGTGGCCACTCAACGAAGTTCCTCTAGTAACACGCGTAATTCTATGGACTACACACTGTTGAATAACGCGGCGCTCTCTACTCAGTGGGTTTCGTACGACGAACAATCTAATCCGTTGGTCTCATGGAAGAAATTCATTGACAATCTCACAAATATAATAACATCCGTGACTAAAATTAGAGAAATCACCAAATCCAGCAATCGAAATCCACCTTTTCGAAGCCGCACGCGGAAATGACGAGGGACTTATATTCGTCTCCCGAATGCCGTCACATGAAATAATTACCGTATGCTTATAAACCACTGCACCAAATTCAGTATCCAAAATGCACCTATTTGAAGCCTAAGAAGGATATGGCTATCTATGCGGGATTTATCCTGACGAGATTACAAACGTCTTCTGAATGTTGTCAAGTGAAATAATAATAATGCTGAGAAACCACTGCACCAGGCTGATCCATGAGGATAAAGTGAAATATCAAGAGGCGCTAGCACAAAAAATCATTTCTAACCCTAAGATGTTGTATAAGCACGTTAACTCAATCCGAAAAGTAAAGTTTGGTATACCGGCACTAAGTAGCGCTGGAAGAGTTGCAGCCACTCCAACAGAAGCTGCTGAAATGCTGAAAATTCATTATTCCAATGTCTTTGCAGCACCGCAGGTTGAAGGTCTACAGCTATCTCCCCGGTTGCATCAGCTTTTATATCCCTCACTGATCTTAGTTTCATTTACTGCTGAAAAGTTCAAAGCAAAAATAATGGCTTTGCGAAAAATGCAAACCCAGGTGCGGACAACATACACCTAATATTTTTGGAGAATCACATATTCGAACCGCTAGCCATTCTGTTCCAGTGAAGTTCGACCAAGCAACACTACCAGAATCATGGAAACAAGGAGTTATCACGCCCATATACAAAGGTGGTTGTCGTAGTGACCCCGCTAACTACCGACCTGTAGCCCTGCTTCCGGTGTTATCGAAGGTCATGGAGTCAATTGTGGTCGATTCTCTGATGGCACACCTCGAAAGACACACCATTCTCTTGACAGCTCGACATGGGTTCAGGCAAAGGCGATCCTGCTCCACCAACCTACGTCTTGTTCGAGATGAATGGACCAGAGCAGTCGACGAAGGGGATGCGGTGGGTGTGATTTATCTTGAATTCTCGACAGCATTTGAGCGGGTGAATTGCCAAATGTAGCTGCAGAAGCTCTACAATTATGGCGTTCGAGATTTCGCATTTGAGTGGATTAAAGCATTCCTCGAACAACGAAACATATCAGTCCGTGTTTCTGATTCCATATCCGGATCTATCAAAGACACCCGCGATGTTTCACAAGGGTCTGTACTCGATCCCCATCTGTTTTTCACATTCATAAATGAGCTACCCAAAGTGTGAGGCTCAAAAACAGTACTATTTGCAGACGACGCCAAAATCTGGAATACAGTAACAGAACCCGAGGTCTCTAACACTTCAGGAATCACTCAACGCAGCTTATCAATGGTATAAGGAGAACGAAGTTGAATTTAATGTTTCTAAATGTAAAGTCATATCCCTACGCCACAAGCGGAAATTCTCGTATTTCCTCAAAGATCAGCAGCTACCACATACTTAAAGTGAGAACGACTTAGGTATTGTTGTTCAAGAGGATTTAGGCTGCTCCAACAACTGTGCTAGATTTCGTCTTCTGCTATGAAGAATGTCGGCTTACTTCGGCGAGTGTTTGAACGGTTTGAATCATCACTATTCCCATTTTTGCTCCCAGCGTACATTCGACTATACACAGAGTACGCCATCCAAGCTTGGAGTCCATGGCTTCATCGTCTTTGCAAGATGCTTAAGCGTCCATAAAGGAGGGTCACCAAGATGGTAAAGGGATTGCGTTACCTGATATACGAAAAGATATTGCGATCATTGGGACTATATTCTGCTCAGTATCGTCGAACTCGAGGAGACTTGATTTTGACGTATCGAATACTGCAGAACCCAAACCATCCATGTCGGCGGCTGCTCATGTTATCGAACAATGTACACCTAAAGGGAAACCGTTTCAAACTACTGATTCTAAAGTGTCGACTGGATTGCCGGTGCCAACGTTTTGCAGTCATAATAGGAAGGTCTTGGAACGCCCTTCCATCTCATGTCGTTTGTGCACCCACTATTGAATCTTTCAAGCAGAGACTCGACGAAACCTTGGCACAGCTCACATTCATACACCACTAAAAGCAAACGCAAATTCACTGTACCCTACATTCTCTACTATCTCCTACCCTGAACTCTATGTGACTCCTTTTTAGACGTGTAACCATTCATTCTTGTTAATGTCCTATGGGACAAGAGAAGCTCGAGCTTGTAAGTTATTCCCATGATAAAACTTTGACGACTTTGTTTTGTGAACACATTCCTGTGGACGAACAAGAATAATGAAATGCTGTGAAAAATACATTTTTAAGTTTTAGAAATAAGTGTTTTTATGGTGTGGCATCATCAACGAAAGAGCATCGTATTGTAGAGTCATAGTAAGTGCTTTTCGCAATTCGAGTGACGTTTTACAATCTTGAAATGCGGTCTAATAAGAGAAAAAAGTGGTCAACTATCTGCCCGAAACAATGAGGCAAAACAAACCGGAAGCATTGTATTTGCCTTTCCAATGACATATACCCGATGACTTTGGTACACTGACACGAATGATAACGAGGAGCTTTTTATATGAATAAACTTGAATCTCAGGTAGCTCCATCATTGACCTTGAAATAACTGCCAAAACGTATTGATATAAACGCAAATCACAGCATTCGTTTTCGTTTGACAAGATCTTCTCTGCTTTTTGTCCCCTTGCAATTTTTCTCGGTATCATGCATCAAGTTCAATCCTAAAACTCACTTAGCACCATTCGGTTTATTCAATGAAAGAGCGTGGAGCTCTGGACGTTTGGCGTTTGCCAGGAATTTTCCAAATGCTCGTTATTCGTCGACGCAAAACACCGTCACGCAGTGCGTACAACCCCGGAGTTAGCACTGAATTCACATACAACAACCACACAATCACAGACGAAATGGTCTCAAACAGTTCATCCTGGGTTTCCTGTGACATGACCGTGGGTGTGATTGTTATAAATGGTTCAACAGCGGAAAATATGAAATACGGGGCTGTGAGTGAGAAAAATGTTGAAACAAGCAGACAGGCGGTTTTAGCCGCTTTGGTTTGCATTTTATGTCCACGATGATGTCTGAGAGTGGAACAATTGTCTTGAGATTGCTGTTGCTGTTGGCTGTATAAATCTCCGGTGCACTGCTCCGTTGTATATGTATCTGACATGACGAGCTTTTGTGCTACGGTGCGATTTATCTTACCTTGGTTATCTTTATTGATTCGGTCTTTGTTTGGATCACGTTGCTGAAGGACGATATTGCTGTTATTATTGTTGTTGTCGTTCGGCTGTGAACTCAAGAGGCACGACTGAGCAGTAGGATTTGTTTTTAGGTGTATTTCACCATTTAATTGCTTCAAACATCGTCGAACAGTGATATAAATTTTAACATAAGCCATTGCAATAAATATGAATGGGATTAAAAATACCAGAATGAAGTAGGTGATCGACATTCTCCAGTGCTTTACTTCATCGTGTTGACCGAGAATAAAACAGCGATATATATCGGTTTGCGAATAGGCATTGGTTGACAGCTTATGATCCGGTTTTGAGCTCGGAATCAAGGCAAGTAAATGAGTAATCGTGACGAACATTCCCGATGCAATCCAGACTATACCAATACTGATCAGGGCTCGTCGACGTGTTACTATTCGGGGGTATTGAAGTGGGGTCAAAATAGCCAGAAGCCGATCAGCGGTTAGTTGAACCAGACTGTAAACTGTGGTAATCAGTATACCACAAACCACAGACTCAATAAATGCACACATTCCGTTACTAATAACCAGAGGGTATTTCAGCATTATGTTATCGTGATGTTCTGTTTTGCCCGAAAACCACGTGATGTTGTGATCGTTTTGTAAACCGACTGGTCTACTTGTTGTTCCTATACAGGCAGCAATACTGAATGGCATAGCCAGCAATCCAAGTAGAAGGTTAGCAAAGCATAAATTCCCAAAGTAGAAGCGTGTAATGTTTCCGATGCGTTCTGAGGAATAACTGGTTGTCGTTGAACGACAGTCACCATCAAGGTCAGAGGAATGTCCGTACGGTGGTGTAGGGCTTTTCTGATCAGCGTTGCCAAACAGTCCGTCCGATTCATAATGCTCACTCACGTTACGCATCCGTGGTGGGACCCGCTCGCTTACGGTTCCCCCTTTGCGTAATGGATATTTGCCGGGAAACACCGAGGAATTGCCCCCATCCAAATATTGTCTTTTCACATAACGACCACGACACCATCGATGCACGGAACTAAACGAGACAAGAAACAGGAAGAGATTTTCCATCAAACTGAGGAACAGAACGATGATGAGTAAGACAAATTGTACACTGGCTGTGACATTCCCTCGAAGATCATGCTGACTGTCTTCCTCGTTCCAGAAATCCTGTTCTGAATGCATCCGGGTTGAACCTATTACTGTAACACGAGTCTTCGTTTATTCGTTTATAAGATCATTTCAACCGCTGACGGTAGGTTGTCTGTCAAGTAAAAGAAAAACACGACGAAAGATTAATAAAAATTCTGGGGATTGCATATTTTCTGCTAATTATTTTCAGTTATTATGCATCATTTGAATCAAACTAAGTTTGGGTACTTGAATTGAAACAGGTGAAAAACAGTTAGCTGTCCCGTTGCTCCTTTCTCACCAATTGGACAATGTTTCTCTTGGGTCTAACCAAATCCTCTAGGCCCATCTTACGATCGTTAGGTACGCAATTACGAGTGAAGTAAACCTGATTGCAAAAATCCATCAGGTTGGTAAATTAAATGGTTCTGATTCAAAGTAGGATTTCCGGTTTTTCGCTTCGTTCTTTTTGACAAGCATCTTAAAATGTGACGTGTACTGCGCTCATAGTTTGAGTTCCTATCAGCCGTACTAACACAGTGAACTGTTTTTAATTAATTAGTTCAGGTGTACACTCATAAAATAATGACAATTTTGCAAACCCAGTGCAACATAAACGCGGACCTAGTTTGGGTACGAATGAAGTGAGTTCTTTACAACGAAAACAATTTCAAATACAACACAGATTGACGAACAAGCTCGTTTTCATGGCTTCGTAGTCATGCCAAATACATCACAATAAGCAGTAGGCTGTTTATGCATGTATCAATATTCAAACATGAAAAATCAATTATTGGTTTTGGGAAAGGGTTATCTGGGGCTAATTTTCTCTTAGGACCAGAGGTGGGATTCCTAATGATCACAGATAACCTATGATGTTATTTTACCTTTCCCAAAACAATTGACTTTTTCATGCTTCATGCTTGATACATATAAACGGCGTGATATTTGTTGTGATGTGTTTGACAGGACTGCAAATTAGCGAAAACGAGCTTGTTCGCCACTCTTCGTTCTAGTTGAAATGTGCTCTGTAGAACTGTTTTGACAATTAAAGAAAACAATTTCATTTTCTTCTAGAACCTCTTCATTTCTTTCAAAATGGCAACACAAAACAAAAATAATCAGGACCTAATTTGAGTGTTTGTATCTTTCATTCCGGAGATAAAATTTCTCAAGTTTTAGGGTTGAAGCTAGTCGGCAAACATGAACTATGCTGCTAATATGTTGCATGTGGTGTTGATAGTTTTATACAACGAAACACAATCCTTTACAGAGTGCTGGAATACCGCGCTGTTCCTAGGTGGTTTAAATGAACTTGTTCCGGAAGTACGAAACACTGTGAGAATCAACGAGCTTTGCGTGAACAAACTTGTCTTCTTTTTTAGTACATCAGGACCAAATGATGTCAGAAGTGTATCGAAAATCGAATCGCCATATGTTGTTTTTGTGAATGTTATAATGGTAATAACCCCATCAAAAATTGTTACTGGTGTAGAAATTTGTCTAAAGTCAACTCTGTTTACTTTCAAACACAATTTGTACAGGCAAACCAATGGTGTTGCCATGGGATCTCCCATCTCTCCCATTGTAGCCAACCTCTTTTTGCATTCAATCGAATCAAAGGCACTCTCTAGTTTTCATATACCACCACGTTTATATGTAAGATACGTAGACGATACGTTTGTCATTCTTAAATTACAACACACGCGCTTTTCTTGATTGTCTAAACAAACAATGCAGCTCCACCAATTTCACAATGGAGTCAAAGGATGTAAACACAGTCATCAGTTTTCTAGACTGTCACCTCAGGGTGAACAACTCACCCAAATGTACCACCAACGTTCACAGAAAACCGACACATTCGGATAAACTCTTACATTTTGAATCAGCTCATCCGCGATGTGTAAAATGGACTCTTATCTGCTCTCTGGCTGACAGTCAAAAAGCTTTGTAGTGAAGACAATAACCGAGCATCAGATCGCTTCTGGCTTACAGTTGACCGGCGAAATCGGCAGGTGATTCAATTGGATTGCACTTCTCAACCCGCCTACCGCACACACCCGAGATCTGCATTGGTTAACACTTGTAAACACTCGCGAACTACGAGTAATGGACCTGGAGTTATCAGTAAATTCGTAAAACAGTTGCACTGCTTAAACTCAAAATCTATTCACATTGCTGTTAACACTTCAAATACTAACATTGATCTTAGTCCCATCAAGCAGGGTTAAAAAAGTATATTTGCTTAAGTCATGGCCGTTCAACCGCAGAGCTACATGTGATCGTAGTACTATCAGCAGTTCTAATCGTAAACACACTTAAGTTTCGGTGCATCAAATTTGACGCAGTGCAGTCCGCGAAATGCTAATAAGACAACCTATATCTTTTCGCGTGTATCTTCCAACTGTATCATTTTCGAAGCCCTCGAGTTGATGCCAACTTCACATGGATTACGTTGTTTTGATTTTCAATTGAGCCGATGTATCATATGGATAGAAACGTTACTTAAATGCGAGAAACGCTAAGTTGATTGCCTTGGAATAAGTTTAGGTGCGACTGCCATGGGGTCAAATATACCTCGATTTCGACCTAGTCTGTCGGAATCAGCTAGATTCAATGTCCGGGTGTGAACGCCTCTTGAGCAACCTTAATTGCGAAGCAAAAAGTCGGTTGATTGCTCGATGTTTTCATTTCCGTGAGGTGAATTGCTGCTCTTAGTTCACTAGGCTAATCCAATGTGGGGTTGACCGAGCAAAAGCTTACAATCCAAATGAGCTCGGTTAAAACGGCGGTTCATAAATTCCTTGTTCATTCCATCCGATACTGTGGGGATGGAAAAGTACAAAGAGTGAGCTAAAAGTATCTGAAAGGGCAACAAGAAACCTAATATGATTTGCCAGTCTATCCCGAGAGAATATTCGTTACTGTCATTTCAAAAATGAGGAATGTACTTTTTGTGAAGCGGATATCGATTTACATGCAAAATACACTTAATTTCAATGACAAGTCAAGGAAAATATCTTCAGCGTCTATTAATATAAACCTTTCAAGACATGAGGGCTAGTGCGGATGATCTAACCATGCTAACAAACTCACTGATGCCGATGGTATAACAAACATTCACGTGATGAATTAGGATTCGAATTTCATACATAGATTCATCATCAACTGATATGTTTCGATAAGATTGCCGTATCCGCATGATTCATCCAACCACGAAACCTTAACAGGTCAGCATCGGTTAGCAAAAGTCTGTCATTTCACTGGATACAGTGTCCGTTGTAGGTTTCAGGTAACGCGTTTATTGCATTCAGTATAATTTCTAGTACAAACAGTACAAAACTACTGAATCAACTAGTTGATGCACAACCTGTTCGTGCCGTACTGATGTTCAAGTAAGAAGGATTTTCAGTTGTCAGTAAGATAAAACATATATTTTACAGCTAAAAGAGTATCACTGTATTTATCGGATTTCAGAGTTTTGTATTGATTGACATCGATAGACTACGTTTACCATAACAGCAAAGGTGATTCATTCATTCATTTGAGTGAGCTTGAAATCTCCGTGATTTTGGTCGATCGGTATAGTATTTTAATTCAAAGTTTGTCCGAAACAATATTTTCTCTGGCACAAGATTGACAGAACTCACAGATAAATGTGAAAAAACCAGTTCACTCGAAAACTGTTTAACATTGGGAGGTTGTGTTATTTCTGCGACAGCAGTTTGCGGTAAAATGTATTGTTCTACCCAAATATCATTATCTTTCATTGACCAACGGCCAGTGAAATTTTCCGTCGGTTTTTATATGCACATTTATATGTTCATATGCGTTTCCCGTAGCGTTGTACTTTAAGACAATTGAAATAAGAAATTTCATGTTGGTCATGGAGAATTTGGTTAAATTTCAAATGGGAATTCGTCGCGTATGTAGCAAATGAAGCGTGAACTGTAAAGCTCGGAAGCACTGGACAGCTGTTTCGACCTGGTTGGGTCTCATCAACAGCGTAAATCCATTGACCCGACTGGGGATCGAACCCGGAATTTCATGGGCAGAACGCAAGCGTGCTACCCACTACGCCAACGGGCAGCTGATCAGACGGTTTATTTATTTTCCATTTACACGATATAGCACAACCCATCTTTGAAAGTTTGTTGAGGACCACGGAAATAAGAGAGAAACATCAATTTTCCTAGAAGTGAGTTTCTCAATAGATATTCTAATTTAAACCACTCACAAAAGCCATGAGCCCTGGGTGGTAAACGAAATTAAAACAAAATTTAAAATATAAATAAGTGATAATGGAACAGCAGCACGACTCTGAATTTAGCAATAGCTTTAGGTTTTCAATATTACACTTGCGGATCGACATCTTTGGGTGAAGATTATCTATGCCGAGCTACGTCTTCCATTACAATTATCTCGATTCACTTGTACCAATTAATGAGTTTCAACTTTCGCTACAGAGGTTTCGCTATTTTAAAAATGACACCCCATCAACATTCAGCTAAATCGGGAAATGTCACTACTATTAGATATTCAACCAATATGAGTAACAACATAATGGAACACCAAAACAGATATGTTTCAGTTTGATATAGGATGATACAATACCCACTTCAGTGAATTTGGTCCTTTCGAAATTTCAAAATTCCTTTGTAGAGAGACAATGCAGGAGTACATAGTACGATCAACCGAGTCAAAATAGCTTTAAACCAAGCAAAATTCAAGTAAAGAGTCCATAGTGAGTAATTAGCTCCGTTTTCGCTTTGACATTGATGCAAATACAATCAATCCACACACTATGGACGAACAAGAAACCAGTCTGATTTACAAACGAGCAATGCTCGCGTGAGGCTGATAATTACTGGTACTTATTAATGACAGTGGCTAGTGATCGTATTCACACTTCGAAAAAGACAATGAAAAAATTGGGGCGCTCCTCTTATATTATGCCATTTGACGTTGTATTGACGTTGTTATGCCATTTACCGAAATATATCGCACCAATTTTATTATATACAAATAATGTGGTAACCAAACAAAAACAGACC